TTGATGAATGATGTTGCCATGGTTACTAAAATCGAAATTTCTGTAAAATTCATTTAAAACGCTACTCTTCCTACAGTTTTAGCCTGATTGCAATGAATCTGGTCACAAAAAGAGACTAAACCAAGGATCATTATTCTTTTTATTACTTTTTCAAAGTTTCAAGTTCAACTGCTACTTTTCTCTTCCTATGTTATAAGTAAAAACCAGTAGAGCTACAGCCTCGTCAGAGACTTCTGGTTAGTTGCACTTTCTTAAAATCTGGGGCTTTGTTTGCAAAAACCTACGCAGCCACCCTGCAAATATCTCGTATTTATAACAAAAGTTATGAACAGTTTCCAAAATTCTAGCTAAAATGTGCTCTTAGGCAGTCGCAAGAAAATTTCGATCCACTTTTGAGACCGAATCCGGTAAATTACCACAAGATGGGATTGGATTTGTTTTGTAATCACGTTAATATTATTGTTGTTTTATTTGAACCAGAGACATTACATCTCATAGGTATACAAAATATGTACATAAATATTTACACATAAGCTTTGCACAGGATAAGTGTAGTATATTTTATATAATATACATTAGCAATTACATAAGCAATAGCATTTACTGCTTTTTCATTTCTTATTGTACATTATTTAAAACATCATTTCTTAATTGATAAGAAAAGTACAGAAATTATCTATCTAACATGGTTCTTTAGTATTTGTGGAACTCAGTAACCTTACTAATTTAAACACTGATAATTTTTTTAAAAATAATAACTCTTGATATATATTTAATTCTTAGTTCTTCATATCGAGGACATTTTAATACAAAGTGAAATTCGTCCTCTATCTCATCTGATATACATATTTCACATTTTCTATCTTTTCTTTCTATGTTGCTATACCTTCCCCTCTCTATCTTTAAATCATGCGCTGATAGTCTTAAACGACTTATAGGTATTCCATACACTCTGAATTTAATGGTTTTCTTATATAGGTCTATAGTACCACATTATCCACTGTTCAAATAAAAAATATTTAGGAGAATTACAAATTCTTGACATAATATCTTATTTATAAACGTCGTACATTCTTTGAAATACAATGTTCAAAGTATTATTATCAATGCAATTGCTATTATACATGTAAGTTAAACCAAGTCTTTGAAACTCCTTCTTAATGTTTACAATCCATACATCATTATTTTCAACTACATCTTGATAACATGATTGTAAAATACAATTATTGCTTTTGATTTAAGATCTCAATTATAAAAGCAAATTATACTTTGCTTAAAATACACTAACAAGTATTCTCTAATTGTTCAATAGACTTGTCAATTGGTTAATAGAAAAACAAAATTTATAGAAACAAAGATAAAAGTTTAAGGTATAGGAAATTTTTCCATGATTTTTATCTAGTAATTGTCAACATATCGTTTCAAATACATTGCTAAAAAATCTGATATTTATAATTTCTTTTTACTTGACCAATTACCAGACATGTACATAGATGTGTTAAAATTAAGTTGTTATTCATTACTTAATTACGCTAATGAAATGCTTCTGGTTATTGAGAAGATCAAATAATAAAACGAAATTTATGAATCTTTAAAACTTATTAATTAAGAAACACGCATGTCATTCAATCATGTGATATGCAGAATATATAAAAGATGTTTCTCTAGACAGGCAAGAGTTGATAATATTACAGGTATATCATTTTTACTTTTATCATTATCTTCGTTTGTTATTCTACGCAAATTCTTATGAAATATTGATGCTTAAGGCCATTGAGCGCGTCATGAAAGATAATTTACAATGTATAAATAGCTTTTGAAATAAAAAATCACGTTTTTTGTTTTTCAGTTTTTAACTATTTTGCTTTTGTTTTGTTGTGAAGTTGAATCTGCACTCTTTCTGGGGGTCCCTGATCTAAATTTTTTCTTTGTGTTGAGTTTTACCAAACATAATCTTGTATATATATTTGTGATTGAAATCAAGCAAGAAAAATTGAACAACAGAGAATCTTGGTGCTCAATTAGTAGAATTAGAACACGCCCATGGTATTACTGTAACGTATCACAAGGCTTTGAAATAAACAGCCAATAAATTAAAATTTTCGTCATACTATATAAATAAGACTCCTTATATCCAATGAAGTATAAAACTGCGCCTCACACAGTTCACTGTTTCTCGGAAGTCTAGTCCGAACAAGATGTCTTTGATACCCCTTCTGTTTCTCGCGGTAACTTTGGTGGCAACAAATGCCCAACAACAGCCAGATCCTAAGGTGATAGAAATGCTTGAACAGAGGAACTGGAGAAAGTATACACAAGAAGTCGGGGTAAATACACGTACTCGTATCCATGTTCTCTTTTTGTTGATAACATGCTGTTGAAAAAGAAGGCATTGGGTTCCTCTTCATTTCTTTGTAGAAAATATCTTTGAATTAATTCTAAATTAGTTTTAAAAAAATTCTAAAAAGCTTTTTGTGCAATTGTTATAATAAATATGGAAGAAAGGGGTAAAGTATAGATTTAATTTGCTTGGATAAAGTGTTCTCTCGGTAAAACCAGCTACCCCGATAGAGTCATTCCTTTGCATTCCTTATATTTCTAGGCTTTGATATAGACCGGTTGGAATCAAATTTCAGGTTTCAGGATTGATCAATTGATTTGCGAATCTCCGTACAATGACTAATATAATGGTTCCTGCAAATAAATAAATAAATAAATAAATAAATAAATAAATAAAAGATCTAGAGAGTTATGATTTACCGATGTTTGTCTTATAGCAATATTTGACTAAAAATGGGAGCATCGGTTTTCGGTGAAATTTTAGGGGAAAAAAATATCTGCCATGGAACAAGAAGGAGTCTTTTGATTTTGACTTTTTGAGGCAGAGGACATAAAAATGGGTAATTGGATACTCTCCAAGTGATCTCTAAGTTTTGTCTGATGGGGAAGTTAACCTCTCTACAGAAGTTACCATTTGCTCTAAGAATTACATTTTGCGTATTTTATACCTGTTTTCAGCTTGTTGCTTTTAAATGGACTACTAACATAACAGGACAACTCGTGAATGAGACAGCTTGGTTGTCTGAGAGAAACAATGTTGTCGCTATGAAATCTCGAGATAGAGACGTCAGGAAGAAGGGATTCGAGAGAGTTGACACTATGATCGACCTTAAACGGTGAGAAGCATTCACTTCATATATCAATGTCCAGAACACAATAATAAATTTTTCAGCTTGATTTTAATCTCCGCTTTCAGGAAAGTGGAGGATATTAATTTTGAGTCTGTCTGTCCATCTGTTTGTCTGCCATTCTGTCTGTGTGTAACACTTTCGTTTCCGGACGATATCTCAAAAAATCTTCAAGCTTTTGCAATGCAATTTTATATCACAACTTCCTATGACCTAAAGAAAACCTCTATTGATTTTGAGGAAAAAATTCAAGACAATTAAGACATTCATAATTCTGTCTATGTGTAACTTTCTTTTCCTTAAAAAGCCTTTGAGCATTTGTAAAATTAAATTTCTACCGATTTTGATGTCAAAAAATCAAGTCAGAAATTCATGAAAAAAGGTTTTCAAATGATAACTTTAATTTTCTTTGAGCTTTTCAATAAAATTCAATATCACAACTCCCTATGGCCTTAAAAGACCACTAATGATTTTAAGGTCAAAGGTCACGGTCAGAAATTCATAAATTCTGTCTGTGTATAACACTTTCGTTTCTGGACAGTATCTTGCAAAAAAATGGTTTAACAAATCCCTATTGATTTTTTGGTCAAAAGGTCAAAGGTCTAGGACAGAAATTCGTACAATTCAAAATATGGTCTCCAGATGATAACGTAAGTTTCCTTGAGCTTTTTAAATGAAATTTTATATTATAATTTCCACTGACTGAAAGAAACCCGTTTTGATTTTGAGGTCAAAAGGTTAAGGTAAAAAAAAATTATATCTTGTATAAAATGGTTTCCTGGTGATAAATATATCGAGGTTTTGCAATGAAATTTTATACCCCTAGTGAATATGACTTAAAAAAGACTCCTCTTGATTTTGAAGTCAAAAAGTCAAAGACCAAGGTCGGAAATTTATATCTTGCATATTGTTCTGATCGAGACGATAACTTAGTTCTTTGTAAGCTTTAGCAATGAAACTTAAAGTCATGGATTTCTTTAACTTAAAAAAGACCCCCTTTGACTTTAAGGCAATTGCTGAAAGGTCAAGGTTGAAATTTTTTCTTTCTCCATCTGCATATTTTTTCCCCAGTTCTTCTACTTTTTTCCCCTTAAGCCCGGGACATAATTTTCCTAAATTAGCTTGTTTTTTTTTATTGTGGAAATCGAACAGAACAGCGCGGCTAAAATGGTAGAAATATTTGGTATCTGGTAATACAAGTAGTTGGTAATGAAATCTTATGGTTTAAATCGAAAAAAAATAAATAGTGTTCCTTAGTATATTTTACTCGTATACATGTAACATTTAGCTTAATTTTCTTGGTAGAAATGATAAAGAAATACATGTATATGTTTTAAAAGACTATTACTATGAAAACTAAATAATTTCCTAACTGAATCTATACAGGTTATTCAGATATGTAATACCAAATTTTACACTTCTTATGAGGACAAAAGTCGAGGAAAAATATGATCTTGAATTGACCTTTGCAGAATTCAAGACCGATGACGTATGCTTTTTTCATGTTTCACCAAATAATATATTCTTGGTGTGATTTTCAGAATATTGATAAGACAACATGACATAATGTATGTCATGGTTATTTTCATCCCGTTTTATTGCAGCTCTTTCACACTTCATTTTGAATTCACCCAAACACAGTTGCACTATAAAGAGATGATGCTGCCATCTTCAAATTCGTACGTTTTAAATTGCCCACTTGCAATGATTGAGAAAGGGGCAAAAATAAAACTTGGGCGAAAATTTACCTGTATACAGTATTAGCAACATGACTCCATTCTTAATTTCGTTAATTTTATTGGTTCAGGGAGAAATGGCGATTCGAGTCAGAGTTCCTACCTCAATTACTGCCCTTCCAGCTTCCATGGTTGATCCACAGATGACTAGACGAGAGAAAAGACAGAAACTCAGAGACCTGGTTAAAGGCAGAGATCGAATGTGCTTCATTCATTCAGATCCAAGACTTACTCTCGCAGCAGTAAAGACCGAGCTCCAGAGGCGTGTTGCTGTATGTTCATATATTTTTTTTTTAAAATCTTAGATTTCAGAGAAACTCAAATATTTTTGTCCCCCAGAACGCTAAATTAAGATATACACTCAGACAATCAAAGATATATGTACAGCAACTAGTATATATACTCAGATAATCAAAAATATTTGTAGCTTTCAAGAAATTATTTTAGGATGATTTCTTTAAATAAAAGTTTTCATCGATCAAAGATGTGCAAAACACAGTGTGTTGAAAAAAATACAAAAAAGAAAAGGTATTTAAAGAACAGTTGCCCTTCCGTACCACGCCAATATGGGTGGGTGGAGGGCTGAAAAGAGGGAAGATAGACAAAATGTTATAACATGTTTATGTATATGCATGTTTCTTGATTTCCATTTTTAAAAAAAATGAGTATAAGTACTATTTCAATAGCATACACATAGCTGGGAATGTCCCTTACTACTGCTAATACTTTGTTCAGTTTTGATGCATCCATTTTCGATCCGAAAAGTCTCCCTATTTTCAAATGGTGCTTGCTAAGCTGAGTACTTTAATCAAACTATGTCAGACTTTGTGCCAATAAAAGGAAGTTTTCGTCTAGCATGATTCGAGTGGATGTTTGTCGAGAGTATTTCACATATTTTGTGGGTATAGAATATTTTCATGTGAGGGTTTCAGCCTTCATTTAATGAAGTCTGGATACTTTTGATGGGTGCATTTCTATTTCATACAGAAAAAGGTTTTCTTCATGCGTTCACAATTCTTAATATGCTATCACCAGTCGTGTTTTCCACATTAATATTTCTTCACTTTATTTCCTTTTTTCTCCCTCAGGGCAGTCCAGTCCAAATGGGTGTTCCTCAAAACTTTGCTGTAAAAGAACAAAACCGCATCTTAACACAAAATCTTAAAAGCCCGCTAGTCACAAGCTTCTGCACAAAGGCTGCTGAATACAATAATAACTTCAGGCTTGAACAAGGTGAGACGTCTTTAGTTAGCATCTTTGAATAATTAACTTGTTCCAAAGCATTTGTAATAATTTGTTCTCTCTCTCTCTCTATATATATATATTATACGCTCTGACTCTCATGCATGCTTTTACACTTGTATTCTATCCACTTCCAGGTACTCCTGTCGCATCACCAACTTCAAAGTTCAAGAAAGTCAAATTCATGGGTCAGATAAACACAGCACAAGCTGGGATGTCAGTTCCTTATACCTTACACATTGAACAAAAAGTTATGGACGGAGTCACGTCTGAGCCGGTGTAAATTGGAAAAACTTTTTACAAGCAACCATGCGAATGCTACAGAAACATATGACTTTATGTCATCTAAAATAAATGATAATCTATATTGTATGAGATACGACGTCGAGATTGTGTTCTATGAACCAAACAAAAGCAAATACTATGGCAAATGTATAGCTACTTTTTCTTACATGTTCAGTTAACAAGTAAGGTGTCACATACTAGTATCATCATATCGCTTAAAGTCGTATTTTTAATGCATTATTGGTGATTTTAAGTTGTCATTGAGTGGCTGAGAGAATGCATACTATTACCAACGAATCGAAATATCTTTATATTTTAAGAGATTATATATAGCGGTAGTGCGATTGATCGCTATACTTACAGTATTTTATGCCACAGACTGTTGCAAATCATGCAAGCTAGAAATCATACGATAACCTGTAATATTTTTTTAAACAATAAAATCGAAGTTTGAATATTTGCCTTATCTTTAAAATTCATGTGAATTAACTATTTTCCCCTAAAAGCAAATGCTATTGTCGTGGACTGAGATCCACCTTTAAGATCAGCCAATGAGCAGGATGTTTGGACGGAGCTAACTTGCCGGTGGACAGAAAAACATTCGCTTCAGCTGGTAAACAAGCAATTGTAATTATCGCCGGGTTTTCAAAAGTCAAATATCTACCAGTTATGGAACTCCAAGAGCCTTGATCCAGCGTTAACTTTGTATGATAGATAAGTTACGACACATGATTTCCTGAAATAGGAAAACATGTGAAAAAAATTAGATCTATAGACATTCTAAATTTGTAAATGAAAAAAAAATATTTATGAAAATAAAACATTTGCTTATATCTTTTTAAACCCATCTAGCATGTTCATTTCAATTTCTTTTTAAAATATGTTTGTACAGCAAATCCTTCCGAACTTTTCTTCAGATTTTTTCCATAGGTTTAAAAGATATTAACGAACAATGTGTTTTAGGTTCATAAATAATTTTTCATTTAGAAAATTAAAAAAAATATATCTGACTGCAACCATATTTTATAATAGATGACTTTAGGATCCATCAAATAAAATGTTGTAGCATTCCTCTTAGCTGGACTTACTTAGAAGTCTAAACCTTGCAAAAATCTTCAGACGCAACCTGTCTGTAAAGTATCTAAAAAAGACATGAACGGGTTTTCAATGAAATTCTAGTAAATATATACCCATTGGGCAACAAAGAATTGATTCAGTCTTGAGGTGGATCCAGATAAATATAGAATCGAAATTTTTCCCTCATCCAACTTTATAAAAACTTCCATATTGCTATAATATAGGGTATTCCGGAACGTGGCTTGAGACGATTAATTATCAAAAGCTTTTAAATTTCAATCAAGCTAAAAAAAAATTTTTGACAGGAATTCCTATACGTACTGGTCCCTGCTGACAAAGCAGGTAACAACATTGTCTTTGTTTGTAAGGCTCATTATATAAATTGGGTTTTAGAGGAACTGGGATTTAATTCTACAAGTGGTAATCCAACTTATACCCATTCTAAGGAGGAAATTCTTCAAAATCATATGTCGGTTTTGAATATTTTTAATATTCCCAACAACAAAAATGAATTTGAATTACAATTTCTATATTGGATTCCGAAACTTCATAAAAATCTTTACAAACAAACATACATATCGGGTTTCAGTAAATGTTCTACCAAGCCTATTTCATTACTCCTCACTAATATATTAACAGTAGTGAAGGAGAAACTTCAAGAGTACTGTGCAACAATATATTCGAGAAGTGGCGTAAATAAGATGTGGATACTAAAAAATTCCAAGGAACTTTTGGAACATTTGAAATCACAAAATTTTACCAAAATCAACAACATAAAAACTTGCGACTTTTCAACTTTATATATATACAACTATTCCCCACGATAAATTAAAGTCCAGACTTTCTGACATCGTTGACAGCTGCTTTTTCAATAAAAATGGGACTCGTAAATTTACTTAACTTGTCATTGGTCATTTGCAAACTTACTTTGTTAAAAAAAAATTTATTGTACACACAAGTACTCTGAAGTTGACATTAAAAAGATGCTCGAGTTTCTGATTGACAATATCTATGTGGTCTTTGGAGACCAGGTCTTCCAACAATCTACTGGAATTCCCAAGGAAACCAATTATTAGCAGACCTATTTTTGTATTCATATGAAGCAGAATTTGTTCAAAATCTTTTACGTGAAAAGAAGAAAAAACTTGCTGTGGCCTTCAACTCGACATTTAGATATATCGACGACGTCTTGTCAATTAACAATGGTTATTTCCATTCTTATGTCGACACGATATATCCCAATGAGCTTGAGATAGAAGATACCACAGAGTCCGACACATCTGTTTCATATTTGGATATTTTATTAGAAAAAGACGTTAATAGTAATCTACAACAAAGCTTTCTGATAAACGTGATGACTTCAACTTTTCAATCGCCAACTTCCCTTACTTATGCAGCAATATACCCTTATCACCTGTATACGGGGTTTATATCTCTCAGTTGATTCGATACGCCAGAGCATGCTCTACGTATGAACAATTTCTAAAACGAGGTAAGTTGTTGACAAACAAATTGATGAAACAAGAATATTAGCAGCCTCGTTTAAAGTCATCATTTCGTAAGTTCTATGGTCGATACAATGATCGTGTCAGCAAATACAATCTATCATTAAGTCAAATGCTGACTGACTTTTTTTATACTAATTGTTAGGCCATTATTTACACACTGAATTGTCGACGGATTTTTCCGTTTTTTCCCGATCATGACAAGGAACACACGGCGGGTGTGACCGGTCGGCAGGGGATGCTCACTCCTCCTTGGCACCTGATCCCACCTCTGATGTCTTAGAGGTCCGTGTATGCTCTGCTCCTATTTTGTAATGTTTAATGGACTTTTGAGCTAGAATACTTTTCGTTATCTCCACATATTTCACTATAAACATTCTGATATTATTTGTAGTAAGAGCTTATTGTCTTTTGTCTATACAAGATAATATAAAGTAAAACAAACAAAATAAAATAAAAGATCTAGAATTTTCCCTTAACTTATTCTATCAAGTATATTCGTCCATTGTTTCATATGTATCACTCAACACAACACCAGATTTGATATTTTACTCGACTTTTAAAATAGTTTTCAAACTACGTAGAAGTGTTTATAGCTGTAATTTATTACTAAAGTACGCTAATGAAATATTTCTGGTCATTGAGAGAGAGGGAAAAAAACAAGGTTTAAAAACAAAAGTCATAGATTTAAAAACTGCTTTATTATAAAATATGCATGTCATTAGTCATGTGATTTGCAGAATGTATACATTTTTTAGACTGATAAGAATTGATAATATGGCCATATATTATAATAAAAAAAATTTCAAAAAATCATGTCATTATACAATAATATTAGTATAGTCTTTTCTATTTTAAATATGTAAAGATGAATTTTACCTTTTAAAAGACAAAGATCATTTTTTTTTTTAATTTGATTAACGAGAAAAGCATGACAACTGCCCATGTATTCTGCTTTTATTCTCTTGTGCAGTTTAATCTGCACTCCTTCTGGGGTCCTGGTCTAAATATTTAATTTGGATTGAATTTTACCAAACATAATATTGTACATATCTTGTCATTGAAATCAAGAAAGAAAATTTAAATGATTCAATAGAGAATCTTGGTGATTAATTAGTAAAAAGTAATTAGAAAATGTCCCGTGGCATTACCTAAACGCATCACATGACCTTGAAATAAATTTAAATTTTCGTCATACTATATAAGTGGACATTCTTTTATCACATGATGAATACAGAGTGAGTCTCACACAGCTCACTGTTTCTCGGAAGTCTAGTCCGAACAAGATGTCTTTGAAGCCCCTTCTGTTGCTCGCGGTAACTTTGGTGGCAACAAATGCCCAACAACAGCCAGATCCTAAGGTGATAGAAATGCTTGAACAGAGGAACTGGAAAAAGTATACACAAGAAGTCGGGGTAAATACACGTACTCGTATCCATGTTCTCTTTTTTTTGAAGATAAGAGCTGTTGAAAGTGATAAAATAATCGTATCTCTATTCATTTCTTTGTGGAGAGCGTTTTTGATTTAATGTGCTGAAAACGGTTTGAAACAATTCTGAGATATATTAGGGTTTGTACACGTTTTCTCTAATCTCAGCTCTTTTATAAATATGGAAGAAAGGGATAAAAACAATTGATCCTTACAACTGATGAGCTTCAATTCAAGTTTCAAAATAGTCGACTGATTTGCTTACAGCGTCTCCTTCAAAGAGGGATGTATTACACCCATGTTTGTCGTCAATAAATATCTTAAAATGATATTTATAAAAAAAAATTACCACGGATAAAAAAGACCTTAGGCAGAAGAGTGAAGTGGATAATTATTTCTGAAGTTGATAATTATTTCTCTGTTTTGTCAGAAGAACATTGATATTACGCCGGTTCATACTGGAATTGGTTTGAGGAATATTCAATCAAATAGGCAGTTGGGTACCTTCCAAATGTCCCCCAGTTTTTGTCTGTAGTTGGGAAATAAAACTCACTACAGAATTTATTTACATTTAGCATTCGCACTAAGAACTACATTTTATTCTATATCTTTTTTCAGCTTGAGGCTTTCAAATGGACTGCTAGCGTATCAGGACAACTCTATAATGAATCAGCATGGTTGTCCGAGAGAAACAATATTGTCGCAATGAAATCCCGGGATAGAGATATCAGGAAGAAGGGATACGAGATAGTTGATTTTATGACCGACCTTGCAACGGTGAGACTCATTCATTTCATACATCAATGTGAAGAATGCAGTAGTTTATATTTTTATATTCAATAGATTACCCTCGTCGGCCATTTTTGATGCCCACATTTAACCAATGATAGATTACTCCTGTCGGCCATTTTAGATGCCCGCATGTAATCAATGATAGATTTACTCCTGTCGGCCATTTTAGATGCCCACTAGTAACCAATGATGGAAATTACTGTCTTTGTGATTACTTTTTCTTTTCTTTCTTTTTACATTTCCTTTTTTTTTTTATTTTACATTAAAGTAACTTAAAACGTTAGAAAAGATAAGTATTAAGTAGTATGGAAATTTTATCCAAAAAAAGACAAAAAACATTGTTAAATTATTTCTAAAATTGTAAACATTAGTGTTTTTTTCTTCTTACAAGTAATAAAGAAAAAGGTCTTTAAATACCTGTACCAATTAAAAGGAATGAGATTTACCAACGAAACAGGAGGAAAAATATGATGAACTTGAAATCCAAGGATGATGACAAATACTTTTCCCCCTCATTTTCATGTTTCACCAAACAATGTATTCTTGGTGAAGTTTCAATTTGAGTACCATTTAAGTATTTTGGCAATACAAGAAAATCGATGTTATAAGATTCTACCTTATTTTTGTTTCTTCTGTTGGTTCAGGGAGAAGTGGCGATTCGAATCAGGGTTCCTACCTCAATTACCGCCCTTCCAGCTTCCATGGTTGATCCACAGATGACTAGACGAGAGAAGAGACAGAAACTCAGAGACCTGGTTAAAGACAGAGATCGAATGTGCTTCATTCATTCAGATCCAAGACTTACTCTCGCAGCTGTCAAGGCCGAGCTCCAGAAACGTTCTACTGTAAGTTTCTTTTTCTTAATTCTTTGAAGTTCGGCTATTTTTGGATTTAATTGAATATTTGTTACAGAGGAGAAAAAAAACCCAAACACGTCTCTCAGAATGCTAAATTTACATACATATATTTACTTTCAAATAATCAGAGACATGAGTAGCCTACAAGTGCCTACTTTAGGATGCTTTTAAGTATGTGTCTTTTTATATTGGCTAAATGCTTGACACATATCTCATTGATATATATTAAGACACAAAAAGATATGCCCAAAAATGATGCTAAAAATGTTAGGAGTGCTACCTTTTTGTAACTTTTTAAAAATTTCATGTTTTTTAAAGATCTATTAGATAAATAATAATGACTTATATTATAAATAAAGATTTCCCTGATGAAATTCAGTATATTGTGATTTAAATTTAAACTGTCGTAACTTTTGCTTGACCAAAATGCTTATGCTGAATAAAAAATTATATCATGTCAGGAGTGCAACAGAAAAAATGAATTGACGCCAACATATTGATTTTAAAAATATGTTAATCTGACAAGTAAATCAAAAAAAAAAAAGTGCAAAACAATATACGATTTAAAGTGTTTAAAATGTTGTAAGTTTCACAAGCTACATAAATGAGAGTCAAGTATCTGTACATACTCATTTATGTCAGGAGTGCAACATTTGATGTTTTGCTCTCCAAAAAAACTTTTATCAGCATATATATATATATATATATATATATATATATATATATATATATATATATATATATATATATATATATATATATACACATATATATATATTGCTTTCTTGTTTTGGAAAATAAAGTCACAAGGAACATTTTTACCAAATAAATCTATCATCTACAGAATACTAGTATATCTGCGTTTCAGATCCATATTCAGGAGGGAACACATTTTCATAAAGATCCAAATTCAATGTTGAAATGACTTCTATTCATACTAATATTATTTGATCAATATGCATCTATTTGAATAATTTAGTACTAAATTAATGACAGTTTTATTATTGAAATCTGTCCCCTTTTCTATTCTATCAGTCCATATATATATATATATATATATATATATATATATATATATATATATATATATATATATATATATATATATATATATATATATATATATATATATATATTTCTTTTAAATTTTTTAAGAAATTAAAAAAAAAACAAAAAAAAAAACAAATAAACAAACAAACACAAAAAAAAACACACACACATAGAAAAAATGTATTAAAATTCACATAACTCCACCACAATTTTACTGAAACAATGGAACATGTTCTAATGTAATATGTAATTTATGCTTCACAATTCTACTTTAAAGTCTTACATGCTCTTCGTCAACAAAAACGCTAGAATTATCAATGATCAAATATGTAGAAATATAAACATAAATTGATCGTTTTGAACATATTTTATTGATTAAATGAAAAGGATTGGAAACAAGTTCTAAAATAAATTGCTAGTTCCTTTCCTTATATGATACAATATGTCATGCAATTTAAAGAAAAATAATACATATGATACAAATAAAATTTAACACATTAACTAAGAAAATCTACATGTTTCGTCAATAAATTTATGAATAAATTGATGAGTAAAATGTTTCTGGTTGACATCAGTTGCAAACAGTGTTTGTCCCATGAAGTAAATGTCCTATAAAATATACTTCTTACTACATGTATACTCTCAGAGAGATTTACGATTTATATAAAGCCAAGGTTAAACAATTTTATGCTTCTTAATCATGAAGTATTACAATATAAATACAGTAATACTCAGTTTCATTACAAATTGATGTTGCCAGAACTTTATGAATTTCTGTGTTCTATGGCTTTAATTTTGAATTTTACTGCAGTCAGGAGTGCAACAAAACTGTTTTATACATGTATTTATCAATGAACTTCATCTCTCTTTACTGCAAAATAATTCGCAGAAAATGCTTGTAGTTAAAATCATTATGTATATCAACAAATCACAGACATTTTTGGACATTTTGAGTATATATATTACTTAAGCAAATAAGTATATTTTGAAGTCAAGAAAATATGAAAACATTTCCCTAAATGTGTAAAAAATATCAACGACGAACTCCTTTACAATATTTGAATGAGATATTGTATTTTAAAATTTTTAAAACAATGTTTAATAAAAAACATATTAGATGTCAGGAGTTCAATAAAATAAGGTAAAATAGGATCATTTTAAAATCTAATATTTTCATAAGAAAACTTATTTTATCAAACTTTTTTTTCTGGTAAAGATTTGAAAAATTGACTAAAATCACAAAAAAGTAATTTTTGGGAAATATATTGAATCACATTCTTTCCTATTAAAACTTTTCAAACCAGAATTGAGACAATTAATGTTAAATCACAATAAAACGGCCAATTTTTTTTCCACAAGAGAAGTTTATATCTAATAATTTATACCCCTGAGACAAGTCTGAAAGATTAAAAACTACAAATTCTTTTGATTATACATTTCAGAAAGTCTTTTAGAATGTAGTAATATTTTCTTTTTTCAACTATTTTATGCATTTGTCAATTTTATTGTTACATCGGAAATGTAACTAGAATGTATATGCAATATAATATAATAAAATGTTATAATTAAAAATATGTTAGGGTAAGTTGAATTTTAAAAAAAAAATCAATTACGGTAATTATTTTTGAATTCACCCTAAATCGATATAAGCTGGAATGTTCACCTTCCATATAGTGCTAATTCTTTGTTCTCTTTGATGCATTCATTTTCAATCCTTAATCTAGAACTCTCTTAACTGTTCCGAAAGGGTGCTCGGATCTGAGCACCATAATTTAATTATGTGCAAGTTTCTGTCAAAAATTGAAAATATTTATTTAGCATGTAAGTGTATTATGCTTTCTATCTTTATGAAACTAGAATAATAGATAACCTTTTCCATGTCACACCCTATGCCAGCTCGAGACCCTAATATCACCCAGAGAACCGAAGGCCCGAGGGCTCATATACATGGTATGATAAAGGGTATATCACATACTTAGTAATATCATGCAGATCACTTCTACTTCTTCAATTACCCACTAGTTTATTATTTATCAACTACAACAATTCTCATAGTGATTATATTTATTAATAAGTATGAAATATCTAACGGTTGTTCGTCAAGAGTTTATATATCATATATTTAATGAATATGGAAGGTATTGATGTGAAGGTTTCATGAAGTGTATTCTTTTGATGGCGTCTTCATCCAGAAAAAAGTTTCGAAGGAAGGCTAATAGTCTTAGATCCGTGATCTCAGGTCTTTCTTTGACGTATATGCCTTTTCTTACTGATTTCACCAGCAATTCTGCACTATCACCAATGTTTTTTTCCCCCAAAGACAATATCACTGTTTTTTTTGAAGTTTATATCATTTTATTTGATTATTTTTCACCAGGGCGGTTCAGTCCAAATGGGCATTCCTCAACACTTTACTGTAAAAGAGAAAAACCGCATCTTAACACAGAATCTTAAAAGTCCGCTAATCACTAGTTTCTGTACAAGGTCTGCTGAACACAATAATAACTTCAGACTTGAAAAAGGTGAGACATCTTATTTCTTTTTAATGAATTGTTGCAGAGCATGCATAATAATTTACCATATACTAGTATGCAGACAGATTGTACTCTCTGATGCGTTGTTTAACACTTTTCTTGTATTTCTTCCCAGGTGCTCCTGTCGCAACCCCAACTTCAACTTACCAGGAAGTGAAATTCATGGGTCAGATAGACACAGCGCAGGCTCGGGCATCAGTTCCATATACCTTACACATTGAACAACAAATTATGAATGGTGTCACGTCAGAGCCGGTTTAATTTAGAAAACTTTTTACAAGCAATCGTACCAATGTTGAAAAATGAAAAATGAAGTTAGATTATAATTCTACCAAATCAACTGCATACTGAGGTATCACATGCCCTCACCACCCACCCTATTTTGGGCTGGGAGATTGGAATATTTCCTTTACATTGTATTAAAACATTGTTCATTATTGTTGCTTTAAATGCTGAATCACGTGATGACCTACATCTCTTTATCTCATCTGAAATAAATGAAAAAAAAATCATTTCTGTACTTGTTTGATAATGCTGTATCCTGTATTCCTGTGTATTTTACAAAGTGGAGGTTGTGTTTTGTATCAGCAGTTTTACTAAATTTAGCATGTTTTTTTTTTCACAAGTTGACAAAGTTAAGGTGCTGCATACTAGTATCTTGATGTCGCACAATGTTATCTTTTTAAGCTGCTACTGAGTGGCAAGAGAATACCAGCAAAACAATATTTCATATGAAATTTTTAAAAATATATATTGACTGGTCGACAGGGGATGTCTACTCCTCCAACTCACCTGATCCCATCTCACAATTCTCACTTCTGTTCACAATTTTTATTGTTTAAATGGACTTTTGAGCATGATCACTGCCTCTATCCCTAGTTGTCGTTTATTGTTTGATATGTTTATATCTGCTTGATATCCATAAAAATTTCAGGTATCTGAAAAAAAAAATTGGAGGGTCGGAGTAAGGTCTCGGGAAGGTACCCCTTCCACTATAAACCGGAAGAATTGTTTATAAATGTGTAATAGAAGTTTTTTTGGTGGAATTTGGTGCATTCTGAGAGTCATATTTTAAAAATATTACACAAGCAAAATCTAGCAGTAATACCAAGACCAAATGAACAAATTAATTTTTTATCAAAAAGGATATTTTGAAAATAATTTTCGGTCATGATTACCGACTTGTTTAAAATTTGAACGACATGAAGAAAATATATGTTCGGTTATGAAAAACGATTAATTATCAAAATTTTCGCAACGCATTTAATGTAGCTGTTGGTTTATCGGCTGTTAAAACATTATTGAAAAGTTATTTTTTGTGTGTCTTATACTTTAACTAACTAAAGTGTTTCAAGGAACGCATGTGTCATCTGCTTTATAGTTTCATTAAAATGTAAATTAAATCTGAGTGGTCAGCTATTTAATGATAGTTCATGCATCTGCACGCAAAAATAAAACAAAAGGCATACACGGATAGTAAAAGACTACGATAGAATCTTACAATCAAAGAAAATTTGGTTCCAGACCTTCAAACGAATAATTGAAATTATTAGAAATAATTATTTTTCGTTTTATTAATACATGTTTCCACAATCTTTCAAAATAGATTTCAGTCTGTCCTTACTGCAATTGTCAGTCTACACGATCCTTTGTGGAATACCGATCCTGATGTATTTTCATTTTATAGTATTTCTGTGGTAACTGAATATCATACAGTTACATTGTACAATATCATGAGCTCATAAACATGTATTAATGCTAATTATCGAAACCCTGACTCTCAAAATTTAAAAGACATAAATACAACTATCCGGGTATTTTTTTGCAAAGTAGGCCAAAGGTCAAGGTAAAGTGGATTATCACGCTGGTATTTTCCTTAATGTTTTTTGACAAACAGTGCACATGCTAAATAGCATAGACTTCCTCTTAAATGTCACAAATATGCTGTATATCGGCACTACAGTATGAACAACTTTGAAAAGTAGATGAAAGGTCAAGGTCAAGAGTCACAAGGTCGGTAACCATGGTAATTTACAAAAGCCATAGTGCCAATAAATATATATGTGCGAGATATCAAATCCAAACCTCGTTTAGTTCTCGAAATATAAGGTGTGACAGACGGACAGACAGACGCCTGGTAAAATGATCCTTAGTGTCGCTCTGCTTTGCAGATAATTTTAAAGATTTTCCCCATGTATTCCTCTGTAAAACTTGTATTGCCCATAGGGGCCCCACCCAACCCCGGGGGTCATGATTTGAACAAACTTTAATCTACGCTACCTGAGGATATACTTCCATATAAATATGACTAATCATGACTGTTCTAGAGAAGAAGAATTTTAAAGATTTTTTCCTAGGTATAACAATGTAAAACTTTGATCATCCATAGTGGCCTCATCCTACCCCCGGGGGTCATGATTTGAAAAACTTGGATCTACACTACCTGAGGATGCTTCCAAATAAGTTTTAACTTGACCCAGTGGTTCTTGAGAAGAATATCTTTAAAAGATGCCATTAATTTTTCACCAATGCGCAAATAGCTCCTCTAGGAAGAAGTGGCCCTTCAATTGTATAAAATGAATCCCCTTTATGATGCTTTATCCAAGGACACTTTGAGACAAGTTTGGTTTAAATTGACCCAGTGGTTGTTGAGAAGTCGAAATGTGTTTACCACAACGATAGACAACGGACAAATTTTGATCAGAAAAGCTCACTTGAGCCTTCGGCTCATGCAAGCTTAAAAACATAGAAGTTTGTTGTTAATTTCCTAAGTTTCTGAAGCCATACTTAGCCCTGGAATAAGGAAATGAAAGTCGCACACTGAAGAAAGCAATAAATCTACAAATTAAGAATCCAAATAGAAATTATTCAATCAGTCGCTGATAGATCAGGGAGGGGTTTCTTTACTGTCAATTCCTATACATGTAGACACAGGCACACTGTTTTTAACTCCTCATTCCAAAGACCAGTGACTTTCACTTTATCATTTCCAATAAAATAAGGGTAACAGCCTACACTGTATGCAATAGGAAGATGTTTATTGTTTGGAAAACAACAAGACGGACGCAAGAGCTTGCACCCAGCCTGTAGAAAAAAAAATCCATACGTGTACATGTGCAGTGACGAAGCTTTGCAATAATACTGTATAGGTGTACAAGGAGAAATCATATTCGGCCTAATCGTTCTAAATATTTTGATTTGTGAACTACCATGTTTCCCGTGCACGTAATTTTCATCATTCCTACCACCCCACTATCAAAAAAGAGAAGCATATATAGTGTGGAATACGAAAAACAGCACTTGACAACCTTGATGTGTGGTTAAAAAACATGTGCATATGAAAGACTTTTGGGATCAAATACGGGATTAAAATTCAAAGGTGTTACAACGCAAATAGAAAATCATTATAACGCACAAAGGCATAATATAGCGTAAAAGGGGTTAAATGTCATTCAAAGGCCGTAATAACTTGAAGTGAAAAGGCGTAAATATGCCCTTTAAAAAGTTGTATGAACGCCAAGTAAAAAAAAAATATTAACGCAAATAACGCAAACACTTTTATCTGGGTAAAATCACGCCGTTTTGAAAGGCTTTAAAATCAAACTTTTCACTTTGCGCAACTACGCTTTTGAAAGATACAAACAAGCTTTTTTCGCGTTATTATGAATTTTTACTTCGCGTTATTACGCCTCACCACTTTACGTTATTTCACCCCACCCCCTGTACTTTCATAATAATAGTAACTTTTGTACTTTTACTTTGTATAGGGATTACAGCTGATTGATTCCACAAATACTTTGAAAGCATTTACTGGTATAAATTTAAACATGTGGTACATCTTACGATTCACATGTTCCGAATTATTCTTTGGTTAGACCCGTGCTTGTGCCCGTAAGAAAAAACACCCTATGTCTACTATATAGCCTGTACATTTGGTGCACGAAGCATTTGCGTTGCGCAAGACTGTGTACTTACGAAAAGATATATAGCCGAAGATACATTAAGTATATTTGGCATGGTCCCCTATTAATGGCTTACTGACAATTTATACCTGTATAAAAATACATCAAGTGCAACGCTTGCAAGTGCAGCCAAGGGTAAATGGAAGAGGGAGAGATGATTGGTGGATAATTCCTTTTATATAACTTAAGGTGTTCATGGTATAAAATTCCTGATTTTACGTAATTCTGCCTCTACCCCTTGGAATCAATTCCACTTAAAAATCAAACGGGCGTTCCAATACTAATGTTTATATATGATCTTGCAGTAACTTATCTCAGATTCTCTTTTTTATTTCAATCCAGTAAGGTCATAACTTTTTGTCACATTCTTTATTTGGATCAGGTGATTACGTGTATGACCACCTTTGGTGCCCGAAGTGACGTCAAAGAAGGCCCCAGGGCATTGCTTGGACGCATCATATAACCTTGAGTTGAGCAGCCAATAAATTGTTCGTGGAAAGTCAAAATTCTCCGTACTGTGTATATAAAGCCCTTCTATGAAAAGATGCACATTTGTCGACTAGCTTTTTAGGGGTTCAGTCACGATGTCTCTCCAATTCCTCCTATCGCTTGCAGTTTTTCTCGTGGCAACAAATGCACAGCCAGAAGCTGTGGCAGAAAACAACCAACTGCTTCATGACTTGTACGAAGCAAGGACCTTCAGAAGAAATTGGCAAGAAGTCACTGAGGCTTTTGGGGTAAGTGCTAACCTTTTTTTCCTTTTTGATCCTCCAGAGTAATGTTGACAAAAATCAGGATTTGTATTCTTTTGATATATTTTTTTTTAAAATTAAGATTTGAAATAAAACACTAAGCAAGTTATGGATTGAGATATTTAATTTTATAGTTTAATTTTATAGAGAACATATTCTTTATGAGAATGTATGATCTGTGAGAAAAAAAAAATAAAAAGAGAGAATTAAAAAGAAACTGTTTGAATGAAACCAAGTCCCAAGTAGCAAACTGAATTACCGGTGTTGTAGAGTAGGACTTCCCCCAGAGCCAGCCCCCCCCCCCCCCCGCAATCTGTTCTCTAGAGTAGGATTTCCCCCAGAGGGGAAATCTCACACTAGAGCTAAATTTCCCCCTCTTTCTTTCTCAGAGTAGGATTTCCTCTCTTTAATCAATGCTTAAATCATTTACAAGTAATATGGCAAAATTTTCTATGAAAGTCAACTGATTTTTTAATGAAAATATAAATGTTTTCGACTCAAGAATTGTTGAATTTAGTATGAAATCTTAAAATAAAGAGTTCTAATCATTGGACCTCAACCCAACATTTTAACTCAAATTGTAAATGAGTCACTTTAAAATCTAAGACTCGATGTTTCAATTCATTCTCTCGGCACAGCAGTACGTATTTGCTCACAAATTTTAAAATTATATCAGGGCGCTTTTAGTGATTTGATAATTTCTTTGCCCTCTAGAGGTCCAGTATTTTATCTATGAATCCATCCTTTTTATTACATAGTGTGTGCAAGAAAATTCTTAAGGAGATGGGTGAACAAGGCGTGCAGAATGCCTATATCTTCCGATATGTTAAAAAAAACCCGTCAAATTCAGCTTGTGAAATTAGTATTTAAAGTTCTCCTTATTGAAATTCATGAAATTATGATAAACAAAATTTTTCTGAGGAAAAAAAAATTTATTCTGTTATTAAAAAATAACGTGGTATTCGTGGGATCGAACCCACTAGCAATAAAAATCCTGAGTATCAGTTTTCTTTAAGACCAACGCGCTAACCACTACACTACACAGCTCCTGATGACTAGTGGCATTTAAATCATGCTTGTGATATGACCCTTGACTAATTGGACTCCAAGTATTTCTCAGAAGATGCGAATATGTCATAAAAGTGTATTTTTAAGGTATAGTGGATCTTTGCTCCATGTTTTTGTTGACCAAAAAATGTATAGTTTTACGCAAACTTTGATGATAACCTTTCAAAAAATGGAGCGAACACCCACTCATACCAAAAAATTGTGTTTTAGTATGAGAAAATGATCCTTTTTGCCCTCTTTAGTGCATGTATGCTATTTCATAGGCAAATAATATCCATCTTCGTGGGATTTTTGCAAATTGTGGAAATTTTACATAAAGTATACTTTAATGTTAGATGAAATATCAAGGAAAATTTTGTTATTGTTGAGATTTAATTTTTCACCTTCATGTTTGTTGCACTATAGGCACTTCGCTCGCCTTGTTCGCCCATCTTCATTATGTTTTGATGGGTTTTATGCACATGCCATTTTGTGAGTACTAAAATCTTGTAGTTCTTCAAAGGAAAATAAGCCAAATCCATAAACACAACAATACAAAAAGCACTGCTTTTGCAAGTGGAAGCATTAAGTATGTCCCCTCGACCCTAGTGATGTAATATTGGATTTGAAAACAGAGAGCGAATACTCTCTAAAAGTTTTGCAAAATTTTTAATTTTCTTAGAAATAAATGGCCCATTTTTTAGTTCCATGGCAATATTTAAATACCAGAATTTTGAAAAGTAGTTTGAAATGCGATTGAAGAAAAAATCCATTTAAAAAAAAAATAAAATTCATTTTGTTTCTATGGAAAAAGTTAAAATTTACCCACCGATTACACTGTCCTAATTTTTTTTCAGCAGCCAGTATGACCAGATGAAAAGAATAAAATTTTAATTCTCAAAAAAAATTTTGGACGGTTACTGAGAAATGAGATTTAAATTTTCCTTTTTCATACTTCGTATGTTCCAATGGAATTGGGCTGAAAAAAGAGAGACATATTGTTACAAGTGTCCCTTTCGAAGAAGGGACTCTTGTAACAATATGTCGCCCCTTCCCCCTTATACATAAATACAGCCATGATATTTTACGGGGGGATTGGCTCTGGGGGAAATCGCACTCTATAACTATTACACAAAGTAGGATTTCCCCCGGAAAATTTAATCTGGTGTGGGATTTCCGCAGGTGAAATCATACTCTAGAGTCATTTTTGCGTGGGGGAAATCCTACTCCAGAGCCTATTTTCAGGGGGAAATCCTACTCTAGAACCATTTTTCCAGGGGGGGGGGTTAAGAGGGGAAAGCCTACTCTACAAAACTGGTATTAGAAATGTTCTGATTTTGTATACTGTATCTATATAAACTTTTTTTTAGCTTAAGCCTTACAAATGGACCACTACCCTGCCTACGAACACATTAGTGAACGAGACAGCGTATCTAGCCGAGAGCAAAAATATTCTTCTGATGAAATCCCGAGACAGAGACTTAAAGAATGAAGGGTTCGACAAATCCACTACTTTAATCGACTTCGAAACGGTGGGTCTCAATTTTTTGTTACTCATTCTCAGTCACCCTTAGATTTCTTTAAGAGTATTTGAATTTCCTTTTTCACAAACGAATTTGATTACAACTCTGCTAAATGAAAAACGTAAAAGATTTTTCTATGATTTTTTTCCCCTCTTTTTACTGATATAGGTCCACAGAATAAATTTTTGAGCTACTAGTGAACTGTTTCGTACAGTTATACTTACATATAAAAACAGACCTAATTATCAAGTTTGTATGTACTGTGACAAACGATTCATGTAATTTTCGATGCCGACGTGGGCGATATATTTGATGGATGTATGACCACAAGTCATGCTCAGCGGTATAAAAAAGGCATTTGTCCGACCACTGACCAAGCATAAATTTCTTTTTTTATTTTCCTGTCCTTATAGCCTGTTTGTTTACATAATTCAAGAATGCATGTCAAACACTCGAGGTAACTCGATGAATCATTTTCCCATTGTCGTTGTAGGGGATGATTGCCTTCCGAACTAAGTTCCCCACAACAAACGAAATCCCTGCTGCGATTGCGGGAGCAGGGGAGCCAGCCGAGATGACCAGACGAGAGCGGCGAAGAAAACTCAGACAATTTTTTGCTGGCAGAGAAAACGCCTGCTTTATTACAAATACTGGCGTCACTCTCGCAGATGCTAAGAGAGAGCTTCAAAATCGTGTTACAGTACGTATACTGATTATGTTTTATAGGATGTATGATTCATTTTTGATGTGCGAACTTTCATAATTATTCCTGCACAATTGCTTAGTAATAGTTTAAAACCTCATTATTCATTGTTTGGTTTTTTTCTTTGCAGAACTCCCCAGTTTCTACAGGGACTGCCAAACGCTTTGTTGCAGAGGAGATGAATCGTATTTCCACAGCGGAGCTGACCAAATTAAACCATAAAATAGCAAAATTCTGTACAAAACCCGGCAAACACGGGAACCATTTCAGACTTGTAGCAGGTATAGGTTTATATTTTCGCTGTAGTCTATTTTTAGCTTGTTGAAAAAGGGGATTATTACATATTCATCTTCACTTTTTTTTCAAATCCATTTTTAGATTCAATGGCAACAACACACAAAGACAATTTAGTGGTCATGGGTCAATTTGACACCACCCAGAGAACAAAGTCTGTACCATATGAAATCCACATTGAACAGTCCATTATTGACAGAATTCAAACACCACTTTCTGGAACTACACCGGAACCGTAATTAGGAGATTCTATTTTTAGAATTCTAATATTGGACAATTGTATAATCATGTTATCTCGTCTTTAGTAAAACCATCTATTCATGTACATCCTTATAAAGTTGCTGAAGTACAGAATCTTCTTTTTCTATGGCACCTTGGTTTTCTATATTAACAATGATGCTAAATGTAAGACGTGATATTATTCACCAGAGCAGCATGACACAGAAGACGAATGAGTGCGACTGACAATATCGTTGTGTCCTTGTAGAATAATCTTGCCGTGAATTTAGAAGAAAGCCAATGCATAAACCTAGAACTTCCTTGTCATGTCTTTATCTTGTTGATTTCACGTGTCTATATATTTGGGTCTGCAAATAAATCGTCTCACCAAAGATTAGTATTGTGTGTATTTCTGTTAATTCCAAAACGTCTCGTCTCCAGGATGAAAATTAATATAAAGTAGAAAGTTTTAATTATTCCTAAAAAAAAGTGTAAACTAAAACTCTTCAATGCAAACGACAGCAGTTTGATGAAGCAAATCTGAATAGCATTTATATTTTGGACTGTTCAACTTTTTGCTCATCAGCTGCTCATTCAACGCAATATACAGATTTGACTTAACATGACCTTTGACCTTGGTTAAACTTTATAATTTCTACCAGCTCCTTGATCTGAAGTCTCTATCACATATGTCTATGTTGATTAGTAAACCATGAAATCAGAAATATGCATTCAAAATTAAAAGATGGTGTTTCATAAAAAATATTACATTTTTTAAATGTCTTTATTATTAAAATATCACTAACAATTATCTGCAATAAATAAATGGATAAAAATCAAACATTCAAATAAAAAATGTCTTTGTTACAAACACCAAATCCAATAAATCTATGCTAAAACTCTTCAACAAATGATATTTTTGATTTTAAAAATATTTGAGATAAAAGATTTGATAAATGGCCTAGTGTTCAGGAGAAAAAAACAACACATGGTCAGTAGTTGTAAAAATATCAGTAGTCAGCCTTAAAAAAAGAAGAAAAAAACTAGTTCCCTTGTGTTCTGATTTTGGTTTCTTGGTATAGTGGTTCTTTGGTGTACTGGTACCTTGGTATACTGAGAATGCAGTTTGTTCTGTAGGGGTTGTAAAGTCTTTTGAGAGATTTAAGAAACAGAGTTCCTGACTTGATTGAATCTGACAGGCTTAGCTCTGAAAAAAATAATTAATATAAGATATCAGTTTACAATGCAATACCTGTGAAGTTTTGTAGCAAATTTGACATGATTATTACACCTCTTGTTCAATATTGACAGACAACTTGATAACATGCAAATAATTATTAACAGTATTCAAAAATGTCATTTTTTCTATAATAAAAATCAAATGATACAATTTAATGTTAACTAATTAAGATTAAAACAAAGAGTAGCCACATCATGCAAATTAAATTCAAGCCAAAAAGTTAAAGCAAAACATTAAGTGCAGGAAAGCAAATCAAATCCTCAAACATAAAGGAAGCATAATTCATGTCAGGTTTTTGTGCAAAAATTGATGTGTGGTGAATTGTATTTTCCCGTAAAGAAAAGCATGTAAAAATTATACACAGCGATTTACAGTTGCCTTGACTTGGTTGCAGTGCTCATTTCTCAAAAACAATTAACAGTCAAATTCTTTTTAAAAAAGGAAGAAAAAAGAAAAAAAAAACCAAACAAACATGATAAAACTTTCCTAAGAGACACTTTCAAAGAATACTGCACTATGTCTAATAAAGGTCTTATAAATGAATGTACTTCATGTAATTAAATATAAATTTAAAAAAAAAACAAATATTATACAAAGGTAAACATTAAGAACTGCATATACAGAGTAACTCAAGAAACACAATGGTTAATATATATTGATTAAATATACATAAACAAAATATAAAATACTTGAGATGAGTCCCCCCCCCCCCCCTTTTTTTTTAATCTTTTCAGAACTACAGGTAAAAAGAAAATGTAACTGTCAAGTCATGGCTATTTCTTGGAAGTAGACTGAACTGATTCAAATAAACTGAGATAATTCCGATGCTTCTGCCTGAACAAAATACTGAATATAGTAGTTATTGCCATGCTAAGCAAAGATTCTGACCTTATCATACGATTGTGGCTGGGAATTTCCTAGATATAAAACCTTAAGCCCACCCATTTTAACCATTTACTACATACATGTATCTCAATCTAGAAATATAAAATACCTAAAATGATGTGTCATATTCACAGTTTGACTAGCATGTTTCTCATGCTTTGTCTAGCCATTGGAATAGTACTAAAAAGTTCATCCCGCACATAAAAATGTTTTATTGTGCTTTATGAGCGTATGCATTGATGTATGGGAATGTCCTAAAAAGTACATGAGTGAAAACAATAAACAGTGCAAGGTCAAGGTCAGAAGGTAGGAAAACACAGAGTCCCATGCATAATTAAGGGAAAGAGAAAAAAACAGAGGCATGCATTTGATTGACATCAAACCTGAGGTTAGCTCATGAATGTCCTCTCTCGTCGGATGGGAGCCCCACGACCTCTGATTATTAATAGTAGTTTTTTTTAATGAATGAATGACTTTTTTTTCAAATTTTAAAATTCATGCTACAATTTTTTCTACATTTATGTACATATTCAAAATTCTAATTGTGTTTCTAAAATCCTCTAAGGTGAGCATGCTCAACAATCAGTTATTTCACGGTGATACCAACACCCATAGACGGAAGCTTTATACACATCTAACATAAGCACTTCAAATCAGCTTCAAATGCAGTTTACAATGCACATACATATAAATGTAATCAACACTTCTTAAATGCACAGTTAATTAACAAGAAGCATCAGACTAGTACCTGAAGGAATTCATGGTCTGCTGTTTGGATTGTTGTTGTAGATTGTTGATCTTCCACTGGGCCTCTAGCCTACTGAAGGCACCACCAGCAAACTACAAAGTTTTGTTCCGATTTGTGTTTTATAACAATTTAATTCTTTATTACTACCAGTAGATTATTCTCTTACTGTTATAAGTATTGTTCTTTTTTTAAAATACACTTGAACCTTGATATATCAAACATATACAGACTGTTGAAAAGCTTTATGATATATAAGAGTTCAAGATAATGAAGTTGAAGCTAGAAATAATGAAAAGGAATTCTGAGTCATTTGACATATATATAGTTTGGTTTGTCTCTAATATGGACAAATCCTTGGTATCTGACATATCCCTTATATATGACATATCCCTGGTATTTGTCATATCCCTAGTATCTATTATCCCTGGTTTTGACATATCCCTAGTATATGTCATATCCCTAAGTATTTGAAATATTTCTAGTTTTTGACATATTCCTAAGTATTTGACAAATCCCTTATTTGACATATCCCTGGTATTAGAAAAAGTCCAGTGTTTAACATATTGCTGGTGTTAATTAAACATGAGGCTCAAAGTGTCTACATAACTAATAATGCCTGATATTTGACATAACCATAAGTATTTGATGTGAAATATCCCTGGATTTGATATATCCCTGGTATTGCTGTAGTCTAAGTATTCGATTTGTCTCTTGTTTCTGAGATAACCTTGGTGTTTGACAGATCCCTAGTATTTGACAAAAGCCTTGTGTTTAAAACAAAGTGATTGATATAAGTATCCTTGGTATTTGACATATCCTTATTGTGATACTGAGGTTCAACTCTGTTTAAGTTAACACATGTCAAAGTGTTCCCATGGTCTAAATAACAGCTTGGACTTAAGTTCCAACTTCATTATCTTAAACACTCAAAGTTTCTTGTCATTCAACTGAGTTTGATATATCAAGGTTTTATTCAATTTCTAAAAAATTCTAACTTAAGATCAGGCGTAGAAATTTAGTAAGTACTATTTTTGCCTTCCATGTTTTTTTTTTCTTTAAAAAAATGGTGAAATATATAACTCTCCCTTCCAACATAACTGCTGTTTTGTCCCTGCTTGTTAAATTAGTATTTTTCCCCACACTTTTTTAAGAAAGATTTTTTATTTGCAAGTCATGCTTATATTCAAGTGGAAAATTTTTCTTGCTTTCAAATGTGAATAATTTTCTTGTTTATCTGAATAATTTATGCCATAAGCACAGTGTTGTGAACCTGATAACAGGTCATCCACTTTCAAAATTCCATTATTGCATTTAAGTACTCTTAATGATTTTACAAAACAATAATCAAAATTTGTGAAAATTTTTGAATCGCTTTTAAAAACAAAATAACTAACTTGTCATGAGAATTTGGTGATATACAGTATCTTATCTGGTTTAAGTCTCATTTCTTTCTTTGGTTTATTTTTTCTAGTTTTAATCTCACCTCTTTCTTTGGTTTATCTATCTTATCTGGATTAAGTCTCAGTCTTGTCAAATAATGTCTTATATCTTTCATTCTTCTGTGATCTAGAAAAAAATAAATGATTTGATTAAAATCTCAGACACCTTGCCTCACTATGCTTAATTTTATCTGGTGGATGAGTATAATTATTCTCTATATGAATTGTTTTTAATTACAGTTGAATCAAAGGTCACTGACCTTCCTGTCTCTGTGCATCCTGGTTGTACCTCATGGATCGACCCGTGTCCCAGGTTGACTTCTTGGTTTGACTGTAGAGAGCAAATAATATTCCATGTAGTAATTGTGTTTCATATACATGTATCTCAGCAACAATCACACAGATTCACCGGGTAATCATACCAAATATCAGATAGCTCTGATGATCAAATGATTATTAAATTGCCCGTTAATAATAATAATAATAATAATAATAATAATACTTTATTTAAAGAAGGTAACCCTATTAGTGCAAGCACTATTCTTCCCCGGGGCCTTCTGTAGACAAAAGTCAATATACATACATATACAAATACACACAATCAATAAATAATTTGTTTCATGTCATTTTCAAACATTCACTAAGAAAATCCAAAAACACGTATTTATCTTATTGGAATCACAACCATTGATATTCAGAACATATTTGATTCTTACTCAAAGTCAGGGGCATCCAGCAGAATTGCTTGTGGATCTATTGTCACTCTGGACTTCCTAAAACCTTTGGCTTTCCGACCTACAAAATTGATTGGACATAAAAATAGTAGTACTCTTTTCACACAGAGACATTAAATTCCAGTATACTGTAAACCAACTTTTATTCGCGACGACTTTATTTCGCGATTTACCGGGGATAAACTAGTTTGCGACGATTAATTTTCGCGATCAAGCCTTTTTTTTGATCTGTTGTTAATAGAAAGAGAGACTTTAAGGACCGGTTCACGGCAAGAAATATTCGCGATGACAAGGCTCTCGCGAACCTCGCGAAAATTTCTCGCACGCGAATAAAAGTTGGTTTACAGTAATTGTCTTTGGTGGAAAGACCAAATCTAAATCTGACATCACCTGACATTTTCCAGTTTTACAACACAAGCAAAGGAATTTATCTGTATTTGAAAAGAAACATTGGCACGAATGAAAAGGGGACATACATACAAACATATTTAAATCAATGGTCTTACCTGTCCCCTTTGGAATCTCATCATCACCCAGTTCATCATCGCTCTCTCCCATCCCAATGTCATGGTATTCAAACGACAACTCTTTTTCTACTGTCAGGGCCTGAAGTCTTGGTACTGGCCTTACAAACTAAAATTAATCATTATATTTACAATAGTTGCTAAACAAGTTCATGGTCCATTGTAATGTAACATATAAAAGACAGGCAACTCTTAATGTTCTTAAACCATCAATGGTGACTTTAGGCAAGGAAGGTTTTCTTCCCTAAATTGTCAAGCTGAGTAAAATGTGATCACTAGCAGAACATCAAAATGTTAAAACCCATTGTCCAAAGAATTGATAAACCATTTTCAATCTGATTGGATGATTTAAAATTGTACAGTGATAGTAACAAGATACATAACAACACTGAATATATTGATAAAGGACAAATATTAATGTTTAAAATTCTGTGTTCTTCAGTAACTTTAACTTTGAGAAGAGGGAATATCTTGTGAGATATATATGAGAGGACTAAAGTTTGGTGGCAACCAAGGCTCTTGATTGTCCTTAATTGCAAAAAAGGTACCTTTTTTCCCAACTGAATGTTGAATGTGTTAATTTTCCCAATAGTCATTACCTTCTAATATTAAAGACCAAACATTTGGATATATAATAATCACACACAGAGCCTGGCCCTAAGTACCACTACTGTAGTATGTAGTGTTAACTGACATCATACCTCCCCCTGTTTCTTGTCATCATCAACTGCAGACATCAAAGATGGATGTATGGCAATACCATGGTCCTTCTTTGTTCTTGTGGTGAACTCCTCATTCTCAAACACATTTAAGTCCATCTCACTATATACAGATAAGAGGTATAGAATATACATGTATTTACTGCACTTTGAGAGCTTCTGAAACACCCTTTAGAAATGGTCAATTTTTTAAATTTAGTTAAAGATATGATCTACATGAAAGATTTGATGATTCTAATTAAAAACCATATGTAGTAACTTGAAAGAAGAAAGCAAAAATTTGTTAATTCATAATGAACTACAGACTACCAAAACAAACGTATCATACTATCGTAATGGCAAAGCAAGAGATGTCACACTAATGAGAAATATGACTCGCTGTACAGAAGAATTAGTCTGTGTTCATACAAAGACTACAGTTAGTCAGATCTATATAATACTAACAAATTAGACTTGATCTAATCTCTGTATTTATGTGTATTTATAAAGAGACATGCTGCAAAAATTTAAGTATTTCATCTGCATGTTTAGACTTTACAGACTGGGTGTGAAGTTAGGTGCTGAATAAATATGGTAAATACGGTACTAACATGAAAATCTTACTCAGTTCACAGTTTAAAATACCTTTACTTGTTTGATGTGTGATTCCAAGAATTGTTTTGAGATTTTCTTTATTAAAAGTGAATGCATGATCTGTCTTATATTATTTAACTGCATGTATTGGTAAAAAAAAAAAAAAATTCATGACTCTGATAAATATCAAGTGCTTTTTGGGTTTCAGTTTTACTTGCCAAAACTTAAATTGAGTTATCATCAGGTAAATTTTCGAACCTAAGAACAAATTATCTGTGAGAACTTTATTTGACAAGTTCTGAGTCTCACAAGAAATAAATAAAGTTCTTGCATATATAAAGTGATTTACAGTAAATTAATGGGTTGTTTTTCTGTTCTTTTTTGTTCATTGTTATTTTTTTCTTCCAAGTTCATCTATCAAAACAATTTTTACAGCATGACTATATAAATACACTGTACAACTTCAAATCCAATATGTTAGTAAATCTCCATAATGCCATTTATAAGAATTAATTTCTGTCTTCTTCTGTGTGTTATAAATATATCTAGTAAGTACTATAGTTCTCAAAGAAAAAAAGAGATATATACATCTATTAATTACCAACTAAATGATACCATATAAAGAGGAGCAGATATCAAAATTAAAATGTGTTTAAATAAAAGTACAGTTTCTACGTGTACACTTCCCTTCTGCATTATCTAATTTAACAGACTATTTTGAGAGAAAATAGTAAAAGCAGGAAGAAGATGAAAAAAGCAGCACATCAAAACCTTCACTCATTTAATTTTGTGTATCTTGGATGATAATTTATTAAAATAGTGACATATCACACATGTTCTTCCTATATCTTTTAAAGCAACACTCTCAGGCCATAGCTAATGACTGAATCTGAATAAATATGACTAGTATGCAATCTTCGTAAAGTATTTGTACATATAATTGTGTTAAAATTATCACGCCACTAACCTTCCTGATCCAGATCTATATCAAATGTATTTACTTCAGTATATAAAACATACATCAAGATTTTATCTCCATAATTCTAAGGTATTTTTCAGATTATTTGCAATTCCACTCCATGCAAATTTTTTTTTCTAAATTTTCCAGTCATACTTTCCATATCTATAAATTCATAAACTGTTTTCAAATATATTTTTCTACATTAAAAATGAAATTGTTTGCTGCATTGTACTTTATGGAGAATTCATGGAAAATAATTCATATATACTTATTTATTATGATCATAATCGGATTAATCACACTTCATTATTATTATAATTATCAGTATTAAGAGAAAACTAGAATCCAATCTCCTATCCAGTCTCCTACACAAAAATAAGACAGGAGTATTAGTTTCTACGATTACTTGAATGTTTTTTTTAAAGGACAAAAAAAATACATTTGTTAGATTGATAAAATAAATAAGTCAGCAACACCTGTCCCCGACCCGACACCAAGGACATAAAACAGACACCTGTCCCTGACCCGATATCAAGGACATGAAACAGAATCTGTCCCTGACCCGATATCAAGGACATGAAACAGAATCTGTCCCTGACCTGACATCAAGGACATGTAACAGACACCTGTCCCTGACCCGACACCCTGGATGTGAAAAAGAAGTGAGACACACAGACAGTACCTGGCATCTGTTAGTCTTTGATATGGCACACAAACTATGTCCCTATGTGACAGTAAGTCATCATACACATGGTTCTGACATGTCTTACTCAGATCTAGTTCACCTGAGCCATTCACTTCTGTCATTGTTGTCACGATATGATCTCGCACACGGCAGCCCTGGTACAGCAAGCAAGAATTAAAAACATCGGCATCAATCTTTAAAACTCTTTCTCACAACCTATTAATTAACTAAAGGTCTGTGACTTCACTGATTTATCACAGCTCATTATGTAAATACTACTGTGACAATAACTATCACATAACATTGATTACCAAATACTGGTAGTTCAAAGTTCTATGAATTGGATTTGAAAAAAAAAACAACATTTCCTTAATGATGTTAAAAAGTAATTTGAACTGGTCATTAGAACACTAGTTTAGTAACACATTTAGTAGTTTACTTTACCTTGTTTTGCTGTGTTGGATCAAATCTTAAAGTTTTCAGATGGCAACAAGGATATGTCCCAATACATGAATACATCCCTGTTTCATTGTCAAACCGTGTGGGTTCTGCATGATATTTACAGTGTCCAAACTCACTACAGGGGAACACTTCCTTACATCTGTTACAGGTGAGGTAATTAATCAATCCCCATATCCTCCAGTACACATCCCGCCACGACTTCAGTTGTCCTTTCAGTTCCAAGAGGTAATCATTAACATCAAAATTTTGGTCTCTCATATGACAAAAAGTCAGTTTTCCACGCTTTTCTACAGTCATTCTGAAAAATGATTTGTGCTCTCATTATTCAAAACAAATACTCCACTTTTTTTTGCTGTTTCATATGAATGAAATGGATAAATTCAAGAAAAATGGCAGAATAAAAGTTCATAACTGAATGTTTCTTTTTATGAAATCCTCTTGCACTCACCACACCAGTATGCTAACATTTTAACATTGGTAAAATGTATAGATAGTGATTAATTCTGTGATCCATATGCCTTCAGACTTCATTCATTACAGAATCCACATGTAATAATTACCTGCTAGGCATGCATTTGATTTTCTTTTCCAAGTTCTGTGTCATGATCTTTTTGCAAATAGAACATCTGTAAATAAAGTGAGAAGAAATCAAAATAATCCTCTCGTTAAAGAGGCTGGGTTGTCAACAAATTTACCCAACAGATCCACTAAAAATTAGAAATATAATCATTCTAGACATAAAATATTATTTCAAGAAGAAAAACCACATCTATCACAATAAAACAGGTATCATATTTAAAACAATTTCCGGTGTTTTTTAGACAAATCAAGCTCCTCTCCTCAATGATGTTTAAAGTCTTAAAAATGACCATTACTATACCCAGTCCTCTTAAGGAAGCTCTAAACACTGCTCACTAAAGAGTTCTATTTGTAGGGTAGTTTTATTGAGTTAGAATGATCTGCCCTTAGATGAAAAATAGAATAAATGGGAATCTACAGTTAATGACACAATTTCTTATGAATTAAAGTATTCTTAATAGATTAAGTAATTGAATACATTATTTCCATTAATTTTCCCGATGCAAGTAAACAACAGTAATTTCTGTTCACAAATAGTTCATTGTCTTTGAAATTTTTTTCTGCAGAAATAAGGCAGGCACCCTATGTTGAAAATGAACTAGATACACTGAATATGTGCACCTCTATATGATATATTTTTCTCAAAGTCCAAAAAGCATTTTTCATTAGTGTTTAAGAGCTTCCTTAATGTGAAATAAATGAAGCATTCTTCATTGGAAAGCATATTTTAAAAAGATAAATCTGAATTGCTAAGTATCAATAAAATAAAAAAATGCAATCATTATTATAGTGATTGTCCTTATAATTTTCTGTTTTTATATCAAAATTTAGGTAAAGATCAAGGCCAATTGATACTATTTGAACTCTCTTCCTTGGTTGATCTATATGAATGTGTACTTAAAAAGATATATGTAATCTGATTAGGTACCTCCAACAGAATTACAGGTAAATAATGAATTATAATCAAGCACACAGACATACAGATGGAGAGATAGAATATTTTGTCCATCAACATATCTACAGCTATGCAGAAGGATGGATGAATGGATGTACATGTAATTCCAGAATATCAAAACCATAACTTTGTTGCAGAAGTATAATAAATAAGCAATGTCTATCTAATTAGTGAGTGAATCAAACAAATGTTGTTCAATGTCCAAGTATTAGTTTACAATAATTAAGCTCACTTGAATAGGGTGGAAGCATTTTCTGGAGAATCTGGATTTGTCAAATCTGGATCAAACAACTTTTCCAACTTTTTGGCAAAAAGCTTGCTGTTCAAGGATAAACAGTTCAGATGTATAAAAGATGTACATGTTGGAAAGATATTTTACAAAAATTTACAATCATTATCTTTGTCACATATAATTATTTACTTTGCCACTAAAAGTTAACATTAGTCAGAAAATCAAGTTTGTGAAAACAGTTTTAAAATTCCATGCATTACTCCTTAATTCAGCTTGAAGAAAACTTTCATTACCTTTTGAATTTATCTTTTCGGTCTTTGATATCATCTGCCTCATTATGTGTAAACAAATCAGCTATCCTAGTGTGAATGAAATAAATAGTGAACAAAATGAAAATGAATATTCAAAACACTCAAGTTAATCAAATACATTAATGTAAACTTATGTTTCAGTTAAAGCATATTCCAATGAATGCTCTACCTTCCTACAAGTTTGTCATTGATACAGTTCATGTTGCAGGGGGTTGCTACAATTGCAGTCATATTTTCATGGCAATATTCAATGCATTCCTGAACCTTTTGGAAAAAAATGACCAAGTTTAGAAATTAATTGCATGTATAGCACAAAAGTGTAAAAAGATTGCCAAAGGAAATACAGAATAAACTATTAAGAGAGAAAGAGAGAGCTTACCAAAGTATCCATTTTTAGAAAGTCTGATGAAATCAGGATTGATATGACATTATTTGCCTCTGAAAGAAAAAAACAACAAGATAATCAAATGCTTTGTTTTTGCAGAGATCAAAAGTACCTTATTATGAATCTTTACCATTGATCATTAAACTAATGTCACAGGTCCTTAAAAAGTATACAAAGACTAGACCAATTAACATACCAAGTTTGGGTTTATCTGGAAGATCCTTGGAGCTCCTTTTCACATACTTCATTAACCAATCGAATATCTGTACATCACAATGTACAGAAATATCGACCTCTTCCCATCTCTGAGCATCAGTGGACAGATATTCAGCAAAATACTTCATCTCCTGAACCAGCAGGTCTCGGGGACAATGGAAATCCTGCTTCACTAAATACAAAATTCTAATGGTCAACATACTTACATGTAATATACTATAAGTACATTTATATGGATCTACAGAAAAGGCTTTTAAAAAAATAATTAATTCAAAATCAAAAGGTTTACTGACCGCTGCATCAGTGTCAGATCACTCTCCAACTTCTTTCATAACACTCTTGCAGATAATTAGAAGTAAATATTGTTAATGGTTCTAGTGAGAAAAGAGGGGTTCTGCTTTTTTGTGAAATTATTGAAGATGGGGAAAAAAATTCCTATGAAATGTGATGGCTAAGAATGGAAAATGTGGTCACATCAAACTGCATGTGTCAAAGTCATTTCCAGTGAAGGAATCTGGTGTGAACCCCCCAGTAACAGAGTGCAAATTACCAAATACACGAAAATGAGGTTTGAACAGATAATTATTATATGAAATGGCAAAGGCACACTCTCCCAAGATTAAATCAGTGTCTCCAGTGAATACCTGCAAGTTGTGTCTTGCCTTGTTTAGGATCAGAAGCTTTATTTCAAAGTCGACAAAAAAATATTATAAAGAAATTATCACAAAAGAAGAAAACTACAACTGAATAAGATGTTCCTAACTAAAGAAAAGTAACTGCTTAGCATACATTGCCTTTATTGGTATTAAATTCTTAATCATATAATTTGATTATTTAAGTAAGACATATGTTTAACTTACAGTTCTTTGCTTCATCACAGACATGGATTGTCATTATTGGCCTAGAAAAAAGACAAACATAATTCAAGGTACATGGATTTCCATTGAAATTTTATCTCTATTTTCATGCATTTTGCAATTCTCTGTGTCCTCACCCCTGGTCATTTGCTTTCCGGCCTCCCTGCTTACTCCTGTTATCTGTGTTGTCTTTGTCATCTTTGTCCCCTAAAAGCAATGTATTTCAAAAAATATACATCAATTTTATAGCGAGCACAGCGAGTGGCGTGAAGCGTCGCTCGTCACTGCGAGCTCTTAAAGCAACGCCTGGGCGAAGAGAAAATTCAGACTTTGCACATTGATCCAAATGAATTTTTTCCGCAGTTACCTGTGGTCCCATAATAATGCTTAGTGAATTGCATCTCACCGCAAACAACGTTCTCGCGGTAGCAACAAAAATTCGACAAAAAATAAAATCACCTTGATATAATGGATATAAAGAAGAAAAATAGTAGATCAAATGTTCTTGATTAAAATTAGCACTGTTCAGACTTCGTTTTGGTAATTAATGCGACATACATACGACGTCATATGACGTCAGAGTCGTAGCAAAAGTCACATGCTGTTTGACGAGCCCGATCTAAATTAAAACTGAAAGGTATCTTTGCTCGCCCTAACGGTTGCACCGTCAACATATTATCTTCTTTACTCCTACCACTCAGAACAGCATTATATTTTACAATCATGTAAACAGATACATCTTTTAGGACAAGTCTGAATTATATCATTAAATCCCCAGCAAAAATCACAGCAAGTAAATCTATGTACTTGAGAAGTGACCACTCTTTAAATTCAAAATATTTTTTTTTACTTTTAAAACTAAACTGGCATTGAAATTTATTGTTGTTGTTTTTATTTTTGGAAGGAAATAACATTTGCTACATATGTAACAATGTACTCCAGATAAGCCTGTACAATAGAAATGACATAATCTTTTGACTGTGAGGGACTTTACCTTTCTGTTTGTCTGAGCCTTGGCCACTGTTGCCACCTGCCTTACTGCTAACATCAGACTCTGACAAACTTGTCTGGAGGGAGCTGCCGGGGTTTGTAAAGTTTTTCTCAAGTTGGTTTATGGCATAAACATCTCCAGACAATAAAAGTTCTTCATACCTCCTTGCAATCTAAAATAGCCACAGATCATGAATTCTCACTCATGCCACCAATTTCAAATTTTAGTTCAGCTTTTACCAACCAGTTTATTTACTGATTCTTATAAGTAGCGAATGCAGTAGTAAGAACTCTACTTCATACCTGTCCGGGGGTTGATCCTGGTATAAGCCTTGCTATGGCATCCCAATTTTTTGTTTGAAGATTGGCAAAATCTTGAGATGCTATCAGTGTCTTCAGAATTAAATCCAGTGCAACACCCAGACTAGAAGAGGGTTCCATAATGTGTAGATCTGTTCTTACTGGCATTCAGAAATTTCTTTTACTATCACAACTAAAGAATCTTAGTTTATATCTTCAGATCTAAAAATAAACCAGCAATAACCATTATGAGAAGATTTATTTGCAGGGATTACCTGGTAAACTAACATTCTAGGGAATTTATTCCTATGAAATATTTTGAAATGTTGGGATTCAATTGACAGTGGTTCCTTAACAAATGCATGTTAGTATTTCCAGTGGACAAGGCAGAATGAAATACAATATACATGTACCAGTTAGCTTGTTGTCAAGTTCTCTTCCTTAAAAAATGAAGCTGCAGGTCTTCAACTCATTTGTCCAAAAAGCTTAATAAAGCTACATAGCTATTTCAACATGTTCAAGCTTTATAGTTAAATCAAGAGATTGTGCTGAACCTGACAAAAGCAATCCAATAAATTTTTTTCTAACGATGTAACAGCAGCGAACAATTTTTGCGATATAATCGAGGAAAATAAAAGGGGTGCGACTCTAGGACCATAAGGAATTTAAGACCTCCGACGATATGCATAACAAAAATTGCTTACACCAAAGACATGATAAATAATCTCTGCTTGCAGTTGCAGCAAAGGTGACAACCATATCATTTCTAAAATCAATTTACAGGCATCATATTGAAGTCAATATAAATTATCTATTGAATTTGAAAATAGTAACTATCTCGCACCTTGCCAAGAAGACTTGAAACGATGATAAATCATATCCGTAACCAAGAAAATGCAGCCATTTTTCAACAACAATCGTAAAAATGGGTTAATTCATGACGAAGAAATATAATGGTAATAATATTCCATTTGGAATGCATGAAACATTATAATAAATATTGTGTAATTAATTGAAATGCTTATAAGGTCTCTTAAGACGATATTTGGATTTCTTTATTTGTTTCATTTTTTTTCGTTTTGTTTTTTTCTTGGCGAGAAGATTGACTCGAGCACAATTGTTTCGTATGCAAACAGATACTAAGTTTATGACTGAATATGGATTTATTCATATTGTTCCTAAATATTTCTATGTGTTCAAACGTCAAACATCAATAACTGTAATACTTACGAAAAGTAACTGCCTTCATCTTTTCACAATTTAAAGTATGCAGATATGGGACAAACTAATGTGCACCTGTTGCACCGTTTCCGGTTTTAACTTTCAAATCATCATCATGTCCAAGCGAAAGTCAGACGTAGAAAGCAGTATAAGTGATATTTATGAAACAAGCGACGAAAAGCAAAGTCGCTTCAAAGAAAAACATTCTTTAGATAGCGATGAAGAGGATGAAGGGGGTCAAGATTATGAAATTCTTCCAGAAGATGACATTGAAGGTATCCCCGTGTGCCCTTATTTCGATAGTTTATAACATGTGTCAATTCTATATTTCAAATAAACAAATATCCACAAAAATAATTTTTGCTGTAGAAACATCATTCAAGGGTTATCTTTTCTAGATAGCTATTCAACTTAATATGTTGCCGGTGCGACCGTTGGGGCGAGCGGAGATGGCTGTTCAGTTTAATTTTCATCCATTTCTTCAAACCGCACGTGTCATTTGGTACGTCGATCTAGACTCTGACGTCACATGACGTCGTATAAGTTGCATTACAAAATCAAAGCCTGAACAGTACTAGTTTTAATGATGAATGTTTTATCTACTGTTTTTTTCTGCAATATGATTATATCCATTAAATCAATGTGATTTTATTTTTTGTTGAACTTTTGATGCTACCGCGAGAACTTAGTTTGCGTTGAGATGCAATTTGCAAAGCATTATGGTTCCACACGTTACTGCAGAAAAAAATTCATTTCAATCAATGTTCAAAGTCCGAATTTTCTCTTCGCACAGGCGTTGCTTTAAGAGCATGCTGCGCTTGCTATTATTTGTATGTAATATGTTTTATGGGGCCACAGTTGGGGCGAGTGCAGTTGTATACCATAAAAAAACCCTTTACATAGCATACACTTTTGAACACTTCAAACCACACAAGACAGTCTAAACTCACGTCACATGATGTCCTATGTAAATTGCATTCCTTAACTGAGTCTAAATAAGCCTTTCGAAATTTTGTAAGTTTGTGTATTACTGGATACCTATATTCACTTTTAACTCATTTGGATACGCCTCATCAGACCACAAGAGACATTTGGAAAGTCTAGACTGTGATGTCACATGACATCATCTGTTAGCATAAAGAAGTCTGAAAAGAGTAACATTTTTAACGAAGAACATTTATTCTACTTCAGTTATCTATATATGCAATATACACATTAAATCAAGGTGATTTTATATTTTGGTGAACTTTTAATTGTTGTTACTGTGAGGATGCAGTTTGCAGAGAGATACAATCACATTTCATTGTGGATCTCGAAATAAATGCTGAAAAAAATTCATTTGGATCAATGATTCAATCTGTATAATGCAATTTTTCTCTTCACTCTTGCTTTGTTGTGAAAGCTGGCAGTGCAAGCAGCGCTTTACCATTTGCAATTCATTAAAAAGTGTCCCATAAAAACAACTGCACTGCAATAACCAAGTCATAATTTCTTTAGTTTCATAATTGATCGATATGCAAGGCCAAACAAAACAAATTTTTAATGTTGATATAAATAATGTTAAATTTGTTGCTATTAAACCTGAAATTAATTTCAACAAAGGTAGAATTAGCATTTGATTGGTTAAATGTCATTCTTAAATACAATGGATGCACATTGTACTACCTCATTGCACCCAAAACTGAATATATGTCATTTTGTATTAACAGGTAAGCATAAGGGAGGGCAGTTGGTATATATGGCTTATATTTAGATAACTAATATAAAGGATTGACCTAAACATTAAGATATTAAATGCAAGTCTCAAATTATGTCACTATTTTCTCTTTCAGATTTTAACAGATTCTTAGATTTTGATATTAAAAAAAAAATAATTGCATTAAACTCAAAATAAAATTGTCTTGGTATCTTTTTCCAAAAGCAGGATTGTGTAAGTTTCATCAGTGATTCTTCAATCTAGGCAGACAGTATCTTGTCAAATTATGTGTTGCAAGCTTATATTAGTAATATGAATCCAAGAATCTTTTTAAAAATGAGTTAAAGTAAATCGGACATTAGAAACTTTATGAAATAAGTCACTTACCTATATAAAATAAGTTGATTTGTTTGTCTGTTTAACATCCCTCGAGAATTTTTCACTCATATTGAGACACCACCACTTTCCAGTGGAGGGTTGCAAAGTTAGACCTGTACTCAGCACTCAGAGCAGTGAGGTCAGAGCAGTGAGGGAACTTTTTTGTGCCAGCACTTACTGCAACACAGGACCTCGGTTTATACTGTCTTATCCGAAGGACCAATTGCATGTAGGTGATGCAATTGCAAGTCTACTGTAGTACGATTTGTTTACAAAGATGAGTCTGTTCTCAGGCAAATGAAGGAGATATAAGCAAAATAATGAAACTGTTGAAAATTGGACCTTGTTAATATTAGGACCATAAAAATGTTAACTTTCCAGAAAAATAATCAGATCTAGCCATGTAACATGTTGATAGTTTTCTTTCATTTAACTCTCTTTTTTAAGGCCAGGAAGATGAAACAATAGATTCCTATGAAGGAATTAAAGTAACACCTTTCAACATGAAGGAAGAGTTGGAGGAAGGACATTTTGATAAGGATGGGATGTACATATTTGACAAAACAAAGGTAACATAAATATTAAAACAAGTGCAAAATAATGGACAGTATATTTATAATGTTTAGAGCTTGTTTATTGTTTTATTTGTTTATTTCTTTAAATTGACTAAAGTTTAATCCTGTCTGTTTAAGTATACCAGAAATCAGGTGCTTTAATAGAATCTCTATTAAAGTAGATGTTTGTAGACCTAGTAACAAAGATTTTTTCAACTGGCCTTTTATTTCTGATTCAGATGTCTAAAAATAATCCCATGTTTGTCTATCTGTCTGTAAACACTTCTAAATAATGCTTAGCGGTTGATTTTGGTATCTTGTACACTGAATACCATGGATATGTCAAACTGATTTGGAAGTCCCAACCCCTTATTATTTAAGCATTTTACCCTTGATATCTTGATTACTTGGATATCTCGAAGTTTTTTCTCAGTCCCATTGAGTTCAAGATAACAAGGTTTGACTGAATATATGATTTTGTAGTTATTAGGTGGACAAAGAGAAAATGCCTTAAGATTTTGGCAAACTGAATCAAAGGTTAAGGTTAAAACACCAGAATTACTGATTTCTGTCAGCACTTGTTTGTGATACAATACTCAATATGACTTTTTCATTTTCTATATACAAAGAGAATGTTTAAAGCTTTAGGGTCTTGTATAACTTTGTAAGTTATACTAGTTTATAATGAAGGAAGAAAATTTTAATCATTAACTAAATCCTGACATTTCTGTATAGTGATGCAATTACATGTGTAATATTAAAATCTCTCCAAGAGATCTTATCTGTCATTAAGGATTGACAGGGGTTTAACAGCAATATAAAAGAACCTTTTAATTTGAAGAGTAATATAGCTTTTGCAAATGTTAAGAATAGAGCAGTCTAACTAAAAGTAGGTCCTTTACGCTCCCGTTTTTGATATGTGCCGTTATAAAACTTGGAACCTTTATGCTCCCATATTTTGTTATGATGCTGTAAGACTTATAACAACATAACAAAATACGGGAGCGTAAAGGATCTAATTTTAATTAGATTGAGAAAAGGGATTATTTATCTGAATTACATAAATTATGTGACTGAATATATGACAACAAGCATCATAATCTAATAAATGATAAACTCTTAACATGAGGTTTTGTACATAGAATCTACTTTAAAATCATCTTTAATATTGAATTCTTTAATTGAATTCGACAAAATATACCACAAACAATTTTCAACTTTACATTTTTCTTTTCATAAAGTTGGTAGATGTTTTATTGCATATACATGTACTGACTATGATAGTCATTGATTTTTTTTAGGAAATTAAAGACAATTGGATTGATAATATTGACTGGGTCAAAATTAAAGAGAAAGAAAAGGAGGATGCCAATAAAATGGCTGATTCAGAGTCGGAGGATGAAGAGGATAATTTCAATGAGAAAGAAACATATACAGAAATATTGACCTATTTAAAGCCAGGTGAAACTATTGCAAAGGCACTCCGTAGATTGGGGGGTAACAAGGGGAAAATGCAATCTGCAAGTCAGAGGTGGAAAGCAAAAAAACAGAAAACACAGGAAGTGGATGGACAGTCCGAGGAAGACAAAAAGAAGTTTCTGAGGCTGACAGAACTAGCAGATAGAGTGCTGAGCTCAGGGAACATGGAGGTGTATGAAATGACATACGAAAAAGTGAACTTTTTGTTGAAAAAATATGAACCAACGAAAACTGAAATCCCAGAAGGCATAGACAATGATGATGCATTGGATATGTTTGCAGAAAATTTTGACAAAGAAACCAGTGAAAAAGATGGCAGTAAACAAAATGACACAGAGGAGTCAAAATCTGAACAGAAGGAAAGTAGCACTGAATCAAAATCAGGTATGTATATTTTATAGTTTTATATTAAAGTTTCCTAGATTTTGACTGCAGGAGATAAAATTCTTCCTCTGTTCATTTGTGGAAAATTTTGCCTCAATGAAAATTAATTTTCAAAAGAAATCTAAATATTGATTAAAATGCAAAGTATTTCAGCATTCCTTGCAGTGCAAAAGTGATAACAATTGAGGATGTCATTAAAAAAGTCCAACAAATGCATAATGAATGCTAAACATACAATCTGTGTGTAAATAAGACTATGTTGATTTTTTTCCCCCAGAAGATTCTGTCCTTACAACATCTGAGGTGATGTGGGAATATAAATGGAAAACGGAAGATGAGGAAATCCACGGTCCATTCACCAGCTCCCAGATGTTGAAGTGGACAGAGGAAGACTATTTTCCCGAGGGAGTTTTTGTCAGAAAAACCTCAAACAAGGAAGGGACTTTTTACAGCTCTAGGAGGATTGACTTTGAATTGTACACATGATTTTCACAACATTGTACATATATTGAGTCTCATTTTCTTCATATCATTTTACACATTATATGCTTGTATCAGTAAATATGCTTTCATTTGAAATCAGGCAAGTTTTTAGTTAAAAGAAGTCTTGGTCTCAGTTATATGGATGCCATCAATTTTCCCTCCATGTAAATTTGTATGGCAGCCATCCAATAACATTCCCTAGACTGTAGATGTAGACCAATTTTAGTGTGTTGGCATCATTATTTTCATACTAAACTAAATCACTGATAAAAAACAATGCATAGCTTAAAACCAGGTATGATATATATAAAAAAGAGAAACCAAAACTAAAAAAGAAGCAACTTGATAAACTGTGCATGCCCCTGAAGGCTGACCTAGCATGGTACACTATAATTATGTGTCAAAATCAAGTGTATACCTTACAAGTAAGTTAGTCTAACCTGTCATTATAACTCCCTAGTGAAGATAGAATTTCAAAATAAAATAGAGTTAACTTTCTTTTTCTCAATTCACCTTGAAATTACAGCATTACTTGTTCTTGTAAGAGAGCAACATTATTGATGTAGCTACCCAAGACCTGGCCAGGATCTTTGTTTCTAATCCAAGGGCACACTAGACAAATTAAATCACTGTTATACTTGCAGTTTGTTTGCTCTCAACAAGGATTTATCACCGACTGTACATTTTGTTAGCTTGATCAACAGAAATTTTGATCTGCTTGCAATCAATTATATACTGTGAAATTACTAATTTTCGTTTGGGTAGGTAGGTGTAATCTGCATTGATCAGAGCTGTCTGATGCTATTTGAACTAGCGTTTCTGTTGGTGTTTGTAGAAAGGAAATGGAATGCATGAGAGGTTGAAATTAAAAACTTCAATTTTGCAGTACTCAAACATGAAAGCCCTAACTCCAGCCCTTCATAAGTTATGGCCAAGGTTAAGGTTTTTGAAATGTGGGTCAAACTCCAAGGTCAAGGGTCAAAATTGATGGTTCCTTAAGGGAAGGCCTTCTCACAAGATATACACGTGAAATATGAAAGCCGTTGCAACAACTGTTCAAAAGTTATGGTCGAGGTTAAAGTATTTTCAAAAGTAGGCCAGGCTCTAAGGTCAAAGGGTCAAAATGGTTGGTATCCAAGGGAAGGTCTTGTCACAAGGAATACACATGTGAAATGTGAAAATCCTAGCACTGACCGTTTAAATGTTATTGCCAAGGTTAAAGTTTTTTTTAAAGTAGGTCAAACTCCGAGGTCAAAAGGCAAAAAAAAAAAAAAAAAAAAAAAAAAAAAATTATACCCCTGGAAAGGTGTTATCAAGAGGAATACACATATGAAATAAGTCCTAGCACCAAACGTTCAAAAGTTATGGCCAAGGTTAAGTTTAGTAAAATTTTGCAAAATTGGGTCAAACTACAAAGTCAAGTGGTCAAATATGTCTGTACCCAAAGAAAGGACTTGCCACAAGGAATACAGATGCATGTGAAATACGAAAGCCATAACTCCAACCAATCAAAAGTTATGGGCAAAGACAAAAAGACAAACATTTATTTGATTTTCAACAAGGGTGTCGGCACTTACATCCAGGAAAAATGTTCAAAGACAACGAGGTATTGATGGAACAAAAATCACTTGTTTACTTTAGTGGGGAATATACATACAAATAAAGTGTTCAATCTTTTAATCTTGGGCTAATAACACCTTAAAAATGCTTGAATTGATTAAAAATTAAGTAATACACTATAGATTTCTATTTAGTTTACTTTTAATCAAAAGACAGATTACTTTAACTGCATAAAAATACCATAGAATCGGGAACTCTTCAGTGTGCAGTGTATGTGGGGTTCTTAAATCAGTCGGAACATAACATATACTTCTCAATGAAATGGCTCACTTATGAAAAAAAATATTTGGTTAATTTCGTTAATCCTTTTGGTTCTTACATCGACCTCATTTCGTTCAGTTGGGGGTGTGGGGTTGCAATTTAATATTTTTGTATACGGGGCAGTAACTCAAACTTAACAAGAGGCCCATGGGCCACATCGCTCACCTGAGCACATTGGCTAGGCAAAAGCACAAATCAGTTCAGTATTGAAAAGATTACCCTGAGGATGCTTCCATATCAATATGACTAAATATAGCTTTCCTGTTCTTGAGAAGAAATATTTTTTCTATATGTTCTTATGTAAAACTTTCTATCCCCAAATGGGCCCCACCCAACCCCTGGGGGTCATCATTTGAACAAAATGACTAATCATGGTTTGCAGTTCTTCAGAAGAAGAAATTTTCCTATATATTTCTATTTAAGACTTTGATCCTCCATTGTGGCCCCATCCTACCCACGGGGGTCATGATTTGAACAAAATAGAATCTACACTAACCTGAGGATGCTTCCACATAAATATGATCAATCAGGGCTTTGCTGTTCCTGAGAAGAAGATTTTTAAATTTTTTGCTATACATTTCTATGTAAAACTTTGATCCTCCATTGTGGCCCCGCCCTACCCCCGGGGGTCATGATTTGAACAAACTTGAATCTACACTACCTGAGGATGCTTCCATATAAATATGACTCATCATGACTTTGTTGTTCTTGAGAAGAAGATTTTTAAAGATTTTTTCCTATATATTTCTATGTAAAACTTTGATCCTCCATTGTGGCCCCGTCCTACCTCCGGGGGTCATGGTTTGAACAAACTTGAATCTATACTACCTGAGGATGCTTCCAAATAAATATGACTCATCATGGCTTTGCTGTTCTTGAGAAGAAGATTTTTAAAGATTTTTCCTATATATTTCTATGTAAAACTTTGAACCTCCATTGTGGCCCCGCCCTATCCCCGGGGATCATGATTTTAACAAATTAGAATCTTCACTACCTGAAGATGCTTCCATATAGATATGACTCATCATGACTTTACTGTTCTTGAGAAGAAGATTTTTAAAGATTTTTCCTATATATTTCTATGTAAAACTTTGATCCTCCATTGTGGCCCCACCCTACCCCTGGGGGTCATGGTTTGAACAAACTTGAATCTATACTACCTGAGGATGCTTCCATATAAATATGACTCATCATGGCTTTGTTGTTCTTGAGAAGAAAATTTTTAAAGATTTTTCCTTTATATTTCTATGTAAAACTTTGATCCTCCATTGTGGCCCCGTCCTACCCCCGGGGGTCATGATTTTAACAAATTTGAATCTACACTACCTGAAGATGCTTCCAAATAAATATGACTCGTCATGGCTTTGCTGTTCTTGAGAAGAAGATTTTTAAAGATTTTCCTATATATTTCTGTGTAAAACTTTGATCCTCCATTGTGGCCCCGCCCTAGCCCCGGGGGTCATGATTTGAATAAATTTGAATCTACACTACCTGAGGATGCTTCCACATGAGTTTCATCTTTCCTGGCCCTATGGTTCTTGAGAAGAAGATTTTTAAATGATGCCATTATTTTTTCACTAATTTCTAATTATCTCCCCTTGAAAGAGGGCGTGGCCCTTCATTTGAACAAACTTGAATCCCCTTTACCCAAGGATACTTTGTGGCAAGTTTGGTTGAAATTGGCCCAGTGGTTTTTGAGAAGAAGTCGAAAATGTGAAAAGTTTACAGACAGACAGACAGACGGACGCCGGACAAAATGTGATCAGAAAAGCTCACTTGAGCTTTCAGCTCAGGTGAGCTAATAAAAACGGAATAAAATATCAGCTAACAGAAATTTGGCATGGCAGGACTTCACGTATTTTCGATAAGTTACCGAGTCTTTTAAAAAATCTCCGAAAGTTTGGGGGATTACACCATCCAAATGTCAGGTGTCTGTGCTCCATCTAATCCTGGTAGATGTCTTCTTGATGTTTTGGGACTTTTTAAACAATTGTTATTTCTGTATTTCTATCCAAGATAAAATATAAATAGAACTGGCAAAACTGAGGAAGAAAACAATTATTTCATTACAAATTTGTTCCTACAGAAAGTACAATCATTATTAAATATTCTGTGAATGGAATTCTAAATTTTAAATATATATAAAAAAGTTTAGTTTATGAAAATTTAGTAAAGTTAGTAAATCCCTGGGGACTCGATCGTAGAATAGGTTTATGTTAATCCGAAATCTTGATGATAGAGACAGGCTTGTCATATGTTCATATACGGATGGAATGCTTTGATACTTTTTCGCTCATTGGGTTTCAATAGTAATGGACGTCCTCAACTGAAGATATATATTAAAAAGAGATAGCGTACACACTTAATACACGAGACAAAACAGTCTTAAATAATATCATTGTCTAGAATAAATATTTCATTTGTTTATTTTCCGAAAACCTTTTACTGCCGACTTGTCTGTGTCAGGTTTCATTTACAATTCAGTCCATTGGCCCAGCGTCAGAATAATGTAGAATGTAGAGGCCAGGCATTTAGACTGAACAACTTTGTGCATGTTATGATATTAATAATCGTCCATTTATATGACTTGTTTTATCATGATATGGTGATTTGACAATTTAAAACCATTAAGTGCAGCTGACATGGGCTTCTGTGATTGATAGTTTAAAAACCGAAAATCCTTTGGTCAACACTTAAAATATTTACTGTAAATTAAATCACGTCTCTTTCTTTTTAACCAATAGCTTCAGATATCCCATTGGCGTGTTATTCCCGGGTCAAACTCGCAGCACAATGTTGACTTTCCTGCTTGAAAAGTTCGACCTTGTCACTCTCAAAATCGACAAAAAATACAGAAATGGGACACGAAAACTGTTATCAACTGGAACACTTTAACAGTTTAATTAAAACTCTATCAAAAGAACTTGAAATAAATCTGTTTCTTATTCTAAACGCTTCCTTTGTCCTCTCGTTCTTTGAAGTACCACATCAAATTGAATTTCATGTATAAGGAAAAATAGAAAAAAAAATATATGCTGGAATTTAACTTTGTCAATTATTTTGGTGACTAGACGTTCTTTTTTCATTAATGCTCAATGCATCTAGATGAACATAAATAACGAGTATAATATGTACAATTCTCAAGGTCATCATGTACATATAGTTTTTGCTCGTGTTTTATTTCGTTGTTTCCTCCAGTTTTATTATTATTTTTTTTAA